CCTCTGATTCCCTCTCTCTCTCACTCTCTCTCTCTCTCTCTCTCTCTCTCTCTCTCTCTCTCTCTCTCTCTCTCTCTCTCTCTCTCTCTCTCTCTCTCTCTCTCTCTCTCTCTCTCTCTCTCTCTCTCTCTCTCTCTCTCTCTCTCTCTCTCTCTCTCTCTTCTCTCTCTCTCTCTCTCTCTCTCCTCTCTCTCGCCGCTCACTAACCGCCACATTTTTCCTCGGCAGCTCGGACGACTACGACGACGACGACTGCCCCATACCGCTGTCTCACGTCTCCGCGCCGCACCGCTCCGACACCTCCTCTCCCGGCGACGTCGACTTCTCCTCCTCGCTCTCGCGCGCCGTCCGCCACACCCCGCTCGCCGACGTGCGGCTCCCCGCCTCGCCCGAGGGACGCTGCTCTAAGATACTCGAGGAGAAGATCGCCGAGTTGCACCGGAAGAAGTCGCGCGACGCGTCGGCGGCCGACCTCAACCGCCTCATCCAGCAGCGCAAGGACATCCGCAACCCGAGCATCTACGAGAAGCTCATCGACTTCTGCAAGATCGACGAGTACGGCTCCAACTTCCCGCCGGACGTGTACGACCCGCGCGGCTGGCCCGACGCGGCGTACTATGAGGAGCTGGCGCGAGAACAGAAGGCCGAGATGGACCGCAGGGAGCGGGAGCGACGCAATGATCGCACCAAGGTCGAGTTCGTGACCGGCGTGAAGAAGGCAGCCGCCCCCGGGGAGCTGACGGGTGAGTAGGGGGCGCCACCGGGGGTCGCTGTGCGGCTACGGGTAGGGGTGGCGCCCGGCGCATCGGCTATCGACGCGCTCATACACTGGTTTGACCGTACGTCTCTTGGTGTGTATCGAAACCGTTCGCATTTTCCCTTTTTACAATTTCCCTCGCATTTTTTTCCCTTTTTAACATTTCCATTGAATTGTCCCTTTTTACAATTTCCCTCGCATTTTTCCCTTTTTACATTTTCCTTCGCATTTGTCCCCTTTCAACATTTCCATTGAATTGTCCCTTTTTACATTTTCCCTCGCATTTTTACTTTTTAAAATTTCCCCTTTCATTTTCCCTTTCCACATTTTTGCCTTGCATTATTCCTTTCTACATTTCTCCCTCACGTGTCCAAATCGTTCTTGCAGGAGACGATCCTCTAAAGAAACGGAAGAGCAAGTGGGACCAGACGGCCGCGCAGACTCTGCCGGGCGTTGCCGTGACGACGACGGCGTCTGCCGTGCACAAGACTCTCATTCCGGGCGTCGGACTGCTGAGCAAGAAGAAGTAGTCAAGGTCGTGTCGAGGTCACATCAAGGTCGTGTCGAGGTCACATCAAGGTCGTGTCGAGGTCACATCAAGGTCGTGTC